AAAGAAATGAATGCATACTGAACAACAGAAGCTTAAACAGTTCAAGAGTTAATAGATCTTCATAAAAAGGCAAACAATTTACAATTCTCTGATTTATAAGCTTTCGAAACCAATAGCAAGCGCTACCAAAGAGATATTCATATGAAAGGATAGCATTCATGTTTCCCATAAATGTTCAGCGCTGTTCATTTACTCACACGAAAGGAAGAATATCAGGTGAATCAGAAGAGGCGCATATTTCTAATCAGTTATAAACATTACTAAACAAATTCAGTGTGGATTTAAAACACAAATCTAAAAAGAAACAAAAATGAGCATACTCCGAAAGATGACCACCGAGCTCTTCAAGTGCTTTCTCGTAATCTTCCAACTTCTGAGAAACAAACGCATAATTGCTCTTCAGCTCTTCGAATTCCTGCACAAACGAAATAATCCTTACACAGATGTACAATAAGAGGTTGCATTCAATCACAATAAAAAGCGATTCAAAGACTAAATCCCATAGAAGACCAAATCAATTACAAACATTCTAAAAACTGCAAAAAAAAAAATTTTTTAGTATGATCGCTATCTAATTTCGACCCCACGAATGACCGTTGCACATATTTTGAAGTAATTATCATGTGGTAACTCACTGAAAACGACATAATATCCATTTCCGAACAAAAATTATCTTCACATGAGGAAATTTACAAATTTCATCTGCTAATGACAAAGAATTTAACGAATGTAACGAATTGATGTCTACACCAACGATAACAATAACACTGATAATATTATCAACAAAAAAACCTGCTCCATCACTGGCATCCTCTTCAATTTTTCACTTAACTCCGAATTCGTTCGATTCAATTTTTGTAAATCTTCATTTGCGGCACTTAACTCCTCCTGAAAACGAATAAAAATACTCAGTGCGATGTGATGATCAATAAAGTCGATTACTGCATTACACAGAAAGGGAAACATCGTAAGCCACGCTTTCAATCAATGGTAAAATTTTGCTAAAACTTAAGAAGTAACCTTTCAAGGTAACGAAAAGAGATTTAAATGAACGTCAAACACAACTGATTCAATCAAATGAATGAATTAAACGAATGCCAAACATTGACGATATCAGATGGTAACATTAACATCAGTTGAGATGAAAAATTACGGAGAAAAAACATTCACGAGCGAACATTCGAAACGAGAGAAGTATTGCATCAACACTCTTGTTTAAAATGGAATCGATTCGAACGTAAACGAATGAAACGATGCACGCACCTGTTTTTGGCTGAGTATACTCAGAGTTTGCATATACGCTTCGGTTTTATTGGCCAGTTCATTCTTCAGCATTTCGGATGCATCCGTTGTGCGCTCTATTTCCGAGTCACGCGCCGAATTGTGCGATTTGAGTGCTTCGATTGTTCGACGCATCTGCTCCTTCTCCTGTGGTACAGCAATCCGCAATCAATTCCGAGATTCCGTTCATAAATTATTCTCAATAACAAATGTGCTGAGAAAGGGATATTAACAAATACGCGATATCCCAGGATATAATCACTAAAATTGACCATTTACCCTCTGCATGCAAACGACTTTTCAGCAATCATTATTCGCGGACAACATGCAATCATATACGGAGTTTTTGGTATATGGTGTTGATCAGGACAGCCATTAAAGACATAAATGCCTAGTTGTCCAAAAGACTATCGACGTTTCGGCGCTTAATGTCACCAATATAAATATCAGTCACGTCGTACGAATGAATTTATTGATGCCATATGCATTCCTTGTTGATTCTCTTCTTTTGCAGGCTAGCACAATATTTTCGTTCCAAGAATACGAACATTTGATAAGTCGGAGATGTCGGGAATCTTACCTGTGTATGATGCTGTTTCGCGGTGATTAGATCTCGTTCAAATTTACGACATTTATCTTCGATTAATCGAATTTTCTCGTACAAATCAACGTTTACTTTCTTCGTATCGGCCAACTGCTGTTTCAACGTACGGACTGAATCCTCTTTCTCAGATACAACTTGCGCCAGCTGATCCCTTAAATACTCTCGAATAGTATCGTATGAAAATATTGCTTACGACAAAAATAACGTTTGAAAATTGCGTTTGAATTTTGCTGAAATGATATCAAATGTAATGAATAAAACTGTCCGCAATTCAAGAATGAAAACAGTCGCCTTATAACCAATGCCGAAAAAAATTACACAAATACTGATGAATGCGAAATGCGAGATCACCTTTCTTTTGTGACTGTTTCGAGAGTGATCGTCGTATCGACAACTTGAGGCTCGTTCACTTCACTCATTGAAACCTTGAAAACAAAAAGACAGAATATTCAACTTATGAATCAAAAAAGACAGAAAATTCACATTACTCAAATTCTTCGGTTTCATCAACCACATTAATCGAGCTTAGCAAGAACCGCTCAGATGTGCTCATAGAAAAATGGATATAAACAAATATCACTTCAGTATTGAGGCAATGAAAGTAGTTTTGAAAAAAGGACTTTCTGATGAAAATTATCCGTAACGATATGGAGAACAGTGGTGCAATTCAATGATTACCTTTTGTTCGCTAACAGAATCTTTCTTTTGCTCCAATTCATCGAGTTTCTTTTTCATATTCGATGCATTCACCCTTAAAGGATATTCTTTCCTAGAAACATTTTATGAGAAAATAAAACGGCAAATTTTTTGGTGAAGAAATAATTTGTGAGACGACCTGACTTAAACAATCTTGACTGATGAACAAAATTAGTTGAGAAAAATTCTATGAGTGTCTCCTAGCGATGACATACGGATTTTTTTGAATGCCATAAAGATGTGCATATCAAGCGTTTTGGTCAATCGAGCAGAGAACAGAACAATTCGTTGAATTCTACTTACTCCAAGAAGCGATTCCGTTCCTCCAGAAAACTTTTCTGATCCAGAAGGGTCTTCAATGAATCAGGTGAGGTGCTCTCTTCGCTGCCATTGCTCTTGTCCTCTTCTGACAGCGGTATTGTTGGCAAACGTATGTAGGCAGCTAGATCAATCGAACTGAAACATAGAATCAAAGGAACAAAATCAAAAATTCACTATTATCACATCTTATCTTAATGAACTCAATTACGATCCACTAAACAAGAAGAGTCGGAATTTTTTATGAACCAAAATACACTCGATTCCCTTTACACGAATGCAAAAATTCACATTTCAATGATAAATCATCAATTTGGTGAATGCCTCGGCGAACACTTATAATTCAAAATGACCAATGAAGTTATGGAAACGAATCTGACATACGGCGTCTGCTCTTGTAGATGATCTTGATCGAGTAGCAAATTGCAGTCGAGCACAGATAAACCGACGAGTGCACCCGATAAGCTTACACATTCTTCTTGTCGTATCAACGCCCACGGCTCATAATATTCCCTGCATAACGTCCACATATGTTTATTTGAATTTCATCACATTCAATATATAATGTAATAAATGTTTATGCTAATTGCGATTCTCATATTACAACTGGAGTTTCAGCATACAATTGGAAATGACCATTATAAGCTTCGATATTTTAAGAGAATAAATGTGAGCCAAGCGCTTTATCAAACATTCATTCATAGGATAATATACGTGAGTTTTTATATTTCTGACTCAACTTTAACACTATTACAAAGAAGTTTAAAAAGCGAGAGAAAACTTTGAAAAACAATCACAAAAACGAAAATATGCAAACATACTTTAGATATTTCGACGACTGCATGTGCTGAAAATAATCAGCAAGTTTCTTTTGCATTACGCCTAGCCTTAACATTGCACGTATTCGAGCGACTGGAGTACTGAAAACAAAAAAATCCTTTCCAAAATCTTCAGCTACTAGTTCTCGTAATTCTTCTGGACGAAATCAACCTCAATCAGAAACAATGATAACTTCAATCTTTCATCAAACGGATAGTGCTGAATCCTCTACATTCGGTAGAACGAAACTGCAGTTTATCTTTAGTAAGCTGAACAAAACTATGACGACGAGCTTTCTTATATCTTGTTTAAATTGTTAAATGTGTGAATCCATAACAATTGAACTATTTATAATAGACAGATGAATGTTAAACCAACGTGATATTCCCGAGCTGTGTTATACACTGATAACACTCGTTCATATCTGCATGCGTGCTGGCTATTCGTCCAATACATGCCCACAATTCAGCATCTGGCGACCGTAGCGCAATCATTGTTCGATGAGCTGAACATAAGCATTCAGTGTCATGACTGCTCTAGAACAGCTACTGAATTTCAAGAAATTATATCGGCGATCGCCCTGTGCATGCATGCATTACGGCTACTTATGAGTCATGAGATGCATTGTTAATCAAGCACTTTCTTCAATTCATCACATTCTATCATCATACTTAAGTTGTCACTGAACACAATGAATAAGACAGAAAAGTCCGTTAGAAAAAATCATAAACTGATCTAAGGAAACATTTTTGTCAGAATCGCACATTTCAAAAATTCCTCTCAAAAACCAAAGATACCAGCCCCTGTTGAATGAGAATTTAATGGTGGTAAATCAATCAACTGACGAATCGGACGATCTGAGTTAAGGATTATTCGAAAAATCATCATTCGGGAATCGTGACACACAAACCTGTACTCTTGAATCCATGCCACAATACCTTTTCAAGCATCATGAACAGATCGGCAAGTGGCTGTGTGTCGGTTTCGAGCATACGATGGCGCAGTTTCATCGTTTCCTCCAGAAACGTTCTCAACACCAAACGTGTTACGATCAGTAAATTGGACCTTTCATTTTCTGAAATTCTTTTAGCCATGATAACGATACAAGCGAACATTTCACTGCTGCTGTTGCTGTTGTCCAGTCGTTGAACTACACGGAATTGCACACCAAAACGTGAACTGGGAGATGAGTGCCATCAAAATTCGATACAAAGACATCAGGAAAACAAATCCACAAGAGATTTTCACATTTTTCAAATAATAAATACAGTGATTTGGAGTACAAAAGATAATACAAATAATGAATACAAAAGAAATCACCTCGATGTATTTTTTGAGATCGATTCAATGGAGATGATGTGTCGAAACCGAACAATTCCAACATGTTCATCATTCCAGAAACCTCTCAATACTTCTCTCTGAATCTTTCAGTTAACAGTATCAACCAACTGAAACACATTCAAATCATCAGTCGATCTGAAAAAGAGCAGATAATTTTGCTGAAAGCAAATATGTGTAATGTATAAAATAGCGTCGAGACTGTAAAAAAAAGCATTTTCTGCAAACCGCAGTACTTTGAACAAAATGCACCTTCCACATAATATTTTCCGGTTAGCATTGATATGCATTTTGCAGTTGATTTCATGACGTTGTCCGAAATAGCCAATGGGCGTATACGAAAGCAACACAAAGACAGAGAGAGCAACACGTGTCAAAGGTTTTCTCATTTCGATTGCATTGGAGAGCGAGAGAGCATAGATGAACAATTGATGCAGTCGAAACGTCGTCAAAAACTCGAAGTATTTAAGCGCGCTGAAGCACAATTTTAAGCTCTGCACAGTTGGGTAACATCAGGTGCTAGTAGGACGGTGATCTGTAGCTGAGTAGCTGGGAGAGAAATTTCCGAAAATTCATTCTTCCATAAAATTCTGAAATTGACCTTCCAAAAAAGATTTCTTTGAAAATCCCAGTTCGGATATTCCCGAAACAGTGTTCCTTTCGAATACCCAAAAATATACCCGAAAAGATGAAAGGATGAGATGAAATAGACCCAAGAAATCTATCTCTCAGAATAAAATTCCCGGAAACTCTTTCTTATGTGAACTTCGAAATTATTTTCCAAAAACCATTTCTCGCAAAATCCCTGTTTCAATATCCCCAATAAGGTGTTCCTTTCCGAATTTACGGATTCAATATACCCAAAAAAATCTTATTTTTGATACTTATGGATGAATGTGCTGAGAAATAAACAAATTTGCTACGTGAACTTATTGAGAGAACCTTATATGATGGTCACACTATCACAACTAATGCTTTTATGAGGAAGCAGCTGAATGCTAAATGCAAATAAATGTTCA